AGAGGCTGGCTCTGTGTGTGTATGTGTGTCTATATCAGCTCTTATCCTGATCCACCCTCTGAGACTGCCCATCCAGTAAGATAGGTAGAGCAGGGTCCCTCTGGGTCCCTCCTCTCAGGATATGCCATCTGCAAAGAGGTAGGCCTTTTCAGTTGCTGTCCCTGTTCTCTGGAATATCATTCCCCTGTGAACTATACAGCCCAACTCTGCTAGGTTTTAGGAAAGCAATTAAAAGTTTACTTTTCCAACAGACCATGAAGATAGGCATGTTATAATTTTTCCCTTCTTCTAGTTTAGAATTTTATTTAAATAGAGTTTTTGAATTGTTACTTGGTGGGGAAGCGTAGAATGATGTGGATTTTTTAACCTTATTTATCAAACAGGATATGTAAGCTGCTCAGAGGCAGAAATAATTGGAATGGCATATAAGCCCAGAAAACACACAAACAAATAATGCATTACCCACAAGGAGTTTTTATAATTAACCCATATCACAAAATGTATGTATGCACCCATACATGTACAATTCATTCTGAGATCTAACCGTGGAAGTCAAGAACTCCCAATAAGATAATCCAGAGCAGGATGGGCAAACCTTTGAGTGGCCAGGGGTTGCTCTTTCTTTTGGGGTGATGAGAGCAGGACCACTATGTGCCAGCTGTGTGAATCACAGTAAGACCCAGCACTGCCAGTGCTAAAGTATGACAGTAGACTAATGGACAGAAGTTATAAGGTAGCAGTGAAAGGCAGAGAGGAGCTTCAGTCTCGATATCATGCAGCTATTGAAGCAACATCATGCACTATGGCCCACTGCTATCATCTTCTATATTGACAATAGCCACTGCTAACTAATCAGCAGCCACATGCCTGAATGACATACCATGGTTGATCTCTTGTCTCTATTTGTCATTGTGCTGGGCTCAGAACAACATCCTCTATCACCACTCAGTGACATCTGCCCAATCTTACACAGCATGCTATCTTATTAGTAGTGACCTCAGCAAGTGACAACACAGAACTAATTTCATCTAGGCTCGAAAGCAAATCAGGCCTAGTTAAAACATCAGTGGGAATTCCAGGGTTATAGGCTAGACTGGGAAGTAATTTTCAGTTTGATGGACAAATATACCAACAAATCAGAGGCATACCCATGGGATCACTACTGTTGGGACTCATAGCAGAGATTATAATGCAATGCCTAGAAGCTATAGCACTCCCATAAATACAACCTAAAGTATGGATCCTATATGTAGATGACACCTTTGTTATAATAAAAAAGGAGCAACTAGAGAAGATACATGAAACCATCAACAACATCCTCAAAGGAATAAAATTCACCAGAGAGGAAGAAAACAACACACTACCCTTCCTAGATATCCTCAGCAGCAGAGGAAACAACAGCAAACTAGAAACCCAAGTTTATCGGAAGACAACCCACGCTAATCAGGTACTCCATTACCAAAGCA